TATTAGAGATCGTTTTTCAATTATACATTGTATTATGCACCAACTAAAAAAATTTTTCATAAAATTACTTTGATATAATAATTCTATTAATATCTCAATTTGGATAAAATTAAACCAAATAATCAGAATTAATTCTCCAATAATGTAATCAACAGCTAAATTGGAATTATTTTGGATAAAAATAATTCTCCAATAAAATGGATATCTAGGCAATTTTATAAATTTAATTACATCCCATAATCTTTTATTTTCTAGATATATGGTATTATTCCCTTTCTTCAGGTTTTATATGAGAAAGATTTTCTTTCTTATTCTTTCTATCATCATATATTTATTGAACTTAATTTAAAAATTAATTTTTAACATAGCCATATTTTTATTTTTCTACAGTGAGTTCAGGTTCCTTCATTAAAAGCAAGCATAGTTTTGTGTATATTTTTCTATATTTAGGTTCAGTTTAAGATTTTTCAATGATTTTCTAAGTCAAATATTATAAATAAATCTAGTCGTTATAATATACTTACATTTTTCTTAAAATATTTATAATGTGCTAAGTAGTTATTTCAAAATTGTCTGGCCCCAATTGATTTAATCTATATATATAAATTCCCTAAAGAAAACTCTTTCTAATCAGGAGTTTGATTAAATTAGAAAAAAAGTCTTCCGCTTATGTTTTCATTTTTTTAAAATTATTTTATTTGATTGTCTCATTTAGTTTATATTACAATAGATTTATTTATGAAAAGTATATGTGTTGATAAGAAAATAATCACATTAATAATATCATAAAAAGTACTCTTTATATTAGAGAAAGATAAAAAGATTTCTAGTAAATCGGATTAGCATCTAACAGGAGATTGTAAAGAGGAGAGCTTAAGATCCAATTTTTTATAGATATAGTAATTGGATTAGTCAAGCATTTATGCTGATAATGTTGAGCTATTCTGTGAATGCTATAATTATGAAAGCATTAATAGTACTACATAACATAATAAAAGGCTTATATACATCTCCATGATTGGATAATATAAGTTATTTAATTACTAATTTTAGCAGAGATTGTAGGAATTCCAATAGTAATGATCCAATAAAGAAAGGAGTTTGAGATTCTTGAAGAAGGAGCAGTTTAAAAACATTTTTTACTCTTAAATTATTGTTAACAAATAAAGTACCATCTATTGATTATTATGATTTGGTATTACTTGTAAAATCTAAACTGAGATTTCTAACTTATCTTCTCTCAGCAGATTTTTATGATAATCAAGATTTCATTTTATTTTTTCATTATGTATATTAGATTTTTAAATAATTGGCTCATAGCACAGAATAGATTATTTTAAGTAAGTATTGGTAAGTATAAAATCGCACACTAGGAAAATTAGTGCGAGATAATTAACAGATAATTATATTAATCAATATTTATGAGGATTATATTATAGCTTTTATTTTTAACTACTTCTAATTTAGGTATAAAATTTCCTTAATTGGTTGAACAAGTTATAGCAACGTATTTCATTTCCTTCCAATCCATTTCAACTTACATCGAATATATTATGTTTGATATATTTATTTTGCTTTCTCAAAATTAACTTTTTCCATTTTGATTAGATAAATAAGAATAGATTATTAAAGTAAATCTTCATTTGGATAATTTTCTTGAATTCATAATTAGACATTCTTAGTAATTAAATGTAATCTATACTTTATGCATAATATTATAACTAATATTCAATTTTAAACTAGTTTTAATTTCTTCAAAATATATTACGTAACATGTCCACTTGGATACATCCATTTAATAACTTAATAGTTACTAATAAATCATAATTTTAACTATTTACTTATAGGATACCTAAACTTTATATCTATTAAATGTTACTTAATAAGGGTTGAACTTAACATTTAGCTTTGGTTATCAATCATAATTNCTTAAGATCCAATTTTTTATAGATATAGTAATTGGATTAGTCAAGCATTTATGCTGATAATGTTGAGCTATTCTGTGAATGCTATAATTATGAAAGCATTAATAGTACTACATAACATAATAAAAGGCTTATATACATCTCCATGATTGGATAATATAAGTTATTTAATTACTAATTTTAGCAGAGATTGTAGGAATTCCAATAGTAATGATCCAATAAAGAAAGGAGTTTGAGATTCTTGAAGAAGGAGCAGTTTAAAAACATTTTTTACTCTTAAATTATTGTTAACAAATAAAGTACCATCTATTGATTATTATGATTTGGTATTACTTGTAAAATCTAAACTGAGATTTCTAACTTATCTTCTCTCAGCAGATTTTTATGATAATCAAGATTTCATTTTATTTTTTCATTATGTATAGATTTTTAAATAATTGGCTCGTAGCACAGAATAGATTATTTTAAGTAAGTATTGGTAAGTATAAAATCGCACACTAGGAAAATTAGTGCGAGATAATTAACAGATAATTATATTAATCAATATTTATGAGGATTATATTATAGCTTTTATTTTTAACTACTTCTAATTTAGGTATAAAATTTCCTTAATTGGTTGAACAAGTTATAGCAACGTATTTCATTTCCTTCCAATCCATTTCAACTTACATCGAATATATTATGTTTGATATATTTATTTTGCTTTCTCAAAATTAACTTTTTCCATTTTGATTAGATAAATAAGAATAGATTATTAAAGTAAATCTTCATTTGGATAATTTTCTTGAATTCATAATTAGACATTCTTAGTAATTAAATGTAATCTATACTTTATGCATAATATTATAACTAATATTCAATTTTAAACTAGTTTTAATTTCTTCAAAATATATTACGTAACATGTCCACTTGGATACATCCATTTAATAACTTAATAGTTACTAATAAATCATAATTTTAACTATTTACTTATAGGATACCTAAACTTTATATCTATTAAATGTTACTTAATAAGGGTTGAACTTAACATTTAGCTTTGGTTATCAATCATAATTGCAGTTTAAATATTTAACCCGTAAATGATAGATTATTAATAATTATAATTCTTTAGAATTATTAAGAAATATATTGTAATTAGTCTATCTATTCTATTTAATATTTTTCACTGTTTTTCATGGTAATAATATGAACTAAACATCTTCCTAGTTTTCTTAAGTAATTAGTTCTTAATATTAGAATTATTTGAGGTAATTTATTTAAGAATCTTTTTAATTGGAGGGCTTATATTAAATTCTTAACTACTCAGATATCTTTTGATTATAATAGTGGTGTGTTATTGATATGCATTCGTTTAGATGTTATCGAAATTTTGAATTTGCAAAAATAAGATTTAAAAAAAAAATATTCCAATATTTATATTTGGTGAAACTTATATTTTAGGTTTTTTATTCTCAAAAAAAATTTAATAATCAATAGAATTAGTCAAATTATCAATTTTATATAATTGGAAGTCCATCTTAAATAAATTAAACTGATATTTATGAATGTTAAAATTATACTGTAAAGATAAATGTCTATTCTCCCAATTAATGATAATAAAATATACCAGAATAATAAATTAATTTAGTAAATTCTTTGGATTTTTCTGGGCATTACCTAATAAGCATATTAAAATCCATTAATTTAATTTATCTATTATACTTTAATTAATTAAGCTATTTTTTAAAATTATTATAAATTCATTAAACTTGTTTTTATAAATTTAAAAATTTTAATAATTTTAAGCATTTAAATAAGAAATATTATTTATATTAAATAAATAAAGGCTTTTTTATTGTAAACACTATTAAATAAATTCAACCAATTATTACTTATCTAAAAAGTTATTAAAATTTTATTAAAAAATAATTGAACATTATAAGGTAGGAAATATGATTATTGTTGTCTGATAGATAAAATATTTATTGAAAAAAGTTAAAAGCAAAACATTTATTTAAATAATTTACAAACTATAAAAAATTTGAAGTACAAGTGTTGTAATATAAATATGATAGCCATTCAAAATAAGGTTCGAACTTATTACACAAATAATAAGAAAGATAGTTCCTCATCTTGAGATTTTAGGACTTTACTTAGCAACTAAATATATAGTAAAAAAGCTGAGCATATTTTATCCTATTTTAAATTGATATTGCTAATAAATATGTTACATTTGCTAAAATTGTCGGTGAGGCAGCATTTGTGGATGATTTAGCAAAGAAAGAATTTTATTGTGATTCTATTAAATCTTTTTGAATCTGTTAAAAAGTGATTTGAAGGTAAATCATAATTTAATGATTAATAAAATTTTATTAAACTTTAGCTAAGCATAAGATTCAGAATTCTTTAAAAGCTATAATAAGGAGTATTTATAATTATATGGATTAGATTGCAGATATAGATATTTCTTTATTAATTAATAATGAAGGAATAGCTAAAAGATCAATTGGAATTTTGAAAGAGTGCATCTTTAAAATATAATAGAAGGGTTTAATATATCAATTATTGTTGGAATCATGCTTTTCTAATTGTTATAAATTAATCCTAATTGTTATAAATTAAATGAATTTAAGAGGCAAAGTGCTATTCAAGATTTACTTATAAAATTATTCTTTAAAATACTTGATGATTTTATAAAGGGGGCTTTTAGAATGCATGGATTTTAATAGATGAAACACATTTATCATTTAAGCTTTGTTGGTAAGATTTTCTTCATTTGATCCTAATCATTTATCAACTTATATTTCTTTGAAATTTTCAAATAATTATTTAGTTGTAGCATTAGAAAGTAGATATCATTGGTTCATTTAATTGACCCAATTTGTCATTACTTAGAATCAACATTCGTTTTCAACAAATATTGAGTGAGTTTTGTTGTGATCAAATTAAATAAATTTAACTTGGAAGAATTTATTTCAAAATTCAAATCATCCTCATCTTAATGAATTTATTGCTTCATTAACTTTAGGATAGACATATGTAACAAGAATTATTTTGTGTTTGTTAATTATGTTCATTCTTCATCCATAACCTCCATCTTTCTCACTGTCATCCTATTACACTCACCAACATCTTATACTCTTAAAATACATTCTACTTGTACATATTCCTTCTATTCCTTATTTGTTTAAGATTATTAAAAATTTTAGTTTTTATTTTTATTTGTTTTTTTTTGAGTTAATAAAAAGATCAAAAATATTATTATAAAGTCTATCGATAATGCTCATAAGTTATAAGAAAAATACTGTAATTAGTGTATAAAAGTTAACTTAAATAATGGGTTTATGTAACAGGGGCATCTTTCATATGATTGACTTTTTTAATTAAAATGTTTAACTCAAGAAATAAAACTTCATATTATCAATAGGAGAATATTTAATACATGTGAAGAGAAATTAATAAATATTATAATACAAAAATTCATCTGCAGGAATTCCTTTGTTTAATTTGGGGAACACAGATTATTATGTCATTAAGTGCGATTGCTAAGTTCTATTTTTATGTTTTCTCACTCATATTCATGTTCATATAAATTACTGCTTTTATGCTCTGAAATTCTTTCTATGTAGTCATTCCTATAAATTATAATGAAGTTTTAAACAAAAAAATGGTGAGTTAGAATTTTTAGCGGTTTGATAAAAACTTGGTTAAATTAAAATAGGCCAAAAAGATAAAACTTGTTAAAGAGCATTTCCAGATTATGATTGTTTATCAAAATTTTATAATGAAGGTTAAATATATATTATTCTTAAATAATAGGACTTAAGTAAAGCATAATCAGTATATGAGATTATTTTTCTATCATTTTTCAAGTTAATATAATAGTTATTTTATTTTACTAAATATATTATTTGTTGTTAAAAAATATTATTTTCTCCTTTTATGAGAAAAAGATGTATTCAAATGAGTTTGGATTGAACATAATTTATCATAGCCAAAAATAATTAAAGTGTGATAAGTTTTAAGAATTCTTAGACTTTTTCTGATTTTTATGAAGTTAGTATTGAATTTTTAGGAAAATTTGTTGCATAAGTTTTCTTACTATTTAGCCATAATACTTACGTATGGATTAGATAGAAATTTAATTCAGATTCATAATTTGATTTAAGTTTCATTCTATATTGAGTTAAGTCTAAGATTAGAAGACATTAATTGCATTTATTCAAATCAAAAGTATTAATAAATACAGTGTTTGGATTATTATATAAAACAATTAAGAGATATGCTCAGTTCCAATAAAACAAGATTTAAAATTTTTATTAATAATGATTATTAATTTATTTAAATTTTAGAATAAGATAAATATAATTTTGTATATTTATAAACAATAAACTATAAACTTTACATAATTTTAAGCTGATATTATGATAAATTTTACAGATATACAAAAATTCATTATATATTATTAAGAAACTCATTAAAGTGACAAGGAATAGTTAAATAAAGAAAAGTGACAAAAGATGAAGATGATAGGAAATTTTTTTAGATAATGTTAGGTGTCTATTGAGAAAGAAAGAGAAACAATTTGAATAATAATAAGTTAGAATGGATTTTTTATTTAATTTATTTCTTTAATAACAATGTCTGTTAAACTTAAAAGCATAAACTACAGTGTTGTTTCTTTAGCAGAATAAATCAAAAAAGAAATAATTTTTACTCATGTTGGATAAGCAGGTATTTAATTAGGAAATGTTTGTTTGAAATTATTCTGCCTTGAACAAGAATTTTCGTTTAATGGATAATATATTCATGGTTGTCAAAATTAACAATTTAAATTAGCCAACATTAAGTTGAAAAATGAAAAAATTAAAAACAGAAAGTTGTCAATATCTATTTAATTCTGAATAAGTAATTTGGTTAAAAAAATGCTATTAAATTTTAGATATTTGTTTAAATAGAATAAGAAAATTAACTTAAAATTATGCAGATTTATAAGGGTTTTTGATGTTCCAATCTATTTGGAGAGGAACAGGTTTAGGTATTTAAGCATATTTAATTTATTTCAGATTTATCAATTTTCATATTTTTTTTCTCCATATTTCTTTAGTTTCTCAAGATCCATTTCTACCCAAATGCCTACCTTCATGCCTTTCATATTATATTCACCATTAAAAGTGACTTAAAAGTTTTCATCCAGCTCTATCCATTTTCCAATCTTTTTCTGCCCTCCTTCTTAATCATAAGCCCCACCACCACTAAAAAAACACATATTAGTATATTCCTTAATTACATAATATTTACATTCTTTTATATACATTTTTATTCCATTCACAAAACCTTATATCCCATTTACCTATCTTAATGCCTTTCATATTATATTCGCCATTATAAGTGACTTATTAACTACAAGAAAAGTCTTCATCTAACTCTACCCACTTTCCAACCTTTTTCTAACTTCCTTCTTAATCATATGATCCACCACCACTAAAATCCACAAACAAATAATTATTAGATTCCTCATACTTTTTTAATATTTACATTTATTGATATTCTTATTCTCCCGTTCTGCAATACATAATGTTCCATCTACCTATCTTGATACCATTCATATTATATTCCCCTTTATAGATTATTTATTTTGAACTCAATTAACTAACAAAAAATCCTACATCTAAGTCTATCCATTATCCAATCTTTATCTAGCCTCCTTCTTAATCATATGATCCTCCGCCACTAAAATAATATTATTTATTCTTATTTACATCTATTCATATTCATCTTCCGATTTAAATAATATACACCATTAGCCTACCTTCATACCATTCATATTATATTCACCATTATAAGTGACTTATTTCCTAAAATTAAACCCTTCATCCAAGTCTATCCACAAGCCAATTTTTTTCTAGCTTCCTTCTTAATCATACGATCCACCACCACTAAAATGATATTATTTATTCTTATGAAATATTTACATTTATTCATATTCATCTTCCGATTTAAATAAAATACACCATTAGCCTACCTTCATACCATTCATATTATATTCACCATTATAAGTGACTTATTTCCTAACATTAAACTCTTCATCCAAGTCTATCCACTAACCAATTTTTCTTTAGTTTCCTTCATTATCGTATGATCCACCACCACTAAAATACACGCAGATATTATTTATACCTTATTTATATAAAAATTTACATTTATTTATATTCATCTCTCTTGTTAAACAATATCCACCATCTACCAACCTTTGTACCATTCAGATTATATTCTCCATTATATGTGACTTGTTTGTATCTTGTAAACCCTTCATCCAAGTCTATCCACTTTCCAACCTTTTTCTCGCTTCCTTTTTAATCATATTATCCACCACCGCTAAAACCCACATCTTAGAATATTTCAGTATTTACATTTATTAATTTCCATAATTATTAAACAATATGTCCCATTTACCTACCTTCATACCCTTTTTATTATATTCACCATTAGATGAAGTGTATATGATATAGGAAATCCAGTAAAACACTTTATCTAACTCGATCCATTTACCAATCTTCTTACCTTCATTATCGTATATACCACCATCTCTAAATAATTATTCAATTAAAAACATAATCTTGTTTTTGTAAAAATATTTCCATTTTCCTATTTTAAAATCATTCAAGTATTCTCCTGTATAAAAAATTTGAGGCTAACTATTCATTATAGTGTATAAACTACGTGAAATGATCTTCAAATAATTCATTCCATAATCCTAGTTTTAAACCCTTTTTATAGTAACCACCAACTTTTATAAAAACTTCTCCCTCCCAAGAAGCAATCCATTTGCCTTCCTTCTTTTTTTTCTAATCATATTAACCTGACCAATAAAGATTTTAGGTTTCTTCCATATTATTAAATTTTGATTATTTAATAAAATTTATAAATTATTTCTAATATGGTTAAATTTGGATCAAGTTTCATTCTAATTGAAAAATGATACTAGGACTTTTTTTGAGAATCTTACAACAATGAAATTAAATCCGGTTATTTTTTAAAATAAATTTTTTTGTTGTATGATATCAAATCAATAACACTAAAAAAATTCTTCTTATTAGTTAGTTGCACTGATTTTTTTTTTGGTTCTAGTTTGTTTTATTTAGATAAAGTTTGCTCAAATACTTGGCTGCTTCAAAACAATTAACACTCAATTTTGCTGAAGTTTCTATATAAGAAATTCCGAATTCATCAGCATATGAATAAGCAACATTAAATGGAACTTGTCTTAAGAATTCCTAATCACATTTGCATCCAACTAAACAGTCTAAATTCAATATTTCAATTTCTTCTAAAGCCTCTTAAAATTATATTAAAATTACTTTTATGCAAAACTTAAATGCTATTAAATGATGATGCATCTGATATATCAAAAATCAAGAAGATTCCCCATTAACATATAAGCGTGGAATATAAAATTAAGATATCTCTAAACCAGCTGTATCCCAACTTTATAATTGCACAAACTAATCATCTACTTAGAAGTTTCTAAATTAAATCCTAATGTTGGCAAGAAATTTTGTTTTACATATCATGACTAATCCAAATTATGAATGATGTATTCAATATTTAAAAAAAAATAATTACTTTTCCTGCTCCCACCTATCCTAGAGTTATAAACTTAAACAAACTTTTGATTTAATCTTCTAAATTGATTTTATTAGACATCATTAGTAAATGTATTTAGCAATTAGTTATTATAATTTTAATATTTATTATTAATTAGAAGTACTTTAAGTAATGCAATCAAAAATAATTTAAATTGTTTATAAAACATAAATTATTTCAAAATTTGTCAAAGGAGCTTTAATTTTCTAACCAATTAATTTAGCTCCTTTGATTGTCAAAACTTTTATTAAGTTTTGTATTTTCATTTGTTAATCCTGGAGAAAAAATTAAATTTGTCTTTATTTTCTATCCAATAAGCAAGTGTATTTGAAAATCCGATTTTTCACTTAATTGCCTAATCTAAAACTAGCAGATATTGTATATAAATGATGAACTAGCTAATGGAAGAAAAGAATTTTAGAAATATGTTAAAAATAAACTTGCATCAAAATTGCTACTAAAATTGCTGATGATTTGAAGAAGTTAGAACACCACCACCAGATTTTAGTGAAATAATCTAAATAAATTATGGAAAAAATGAATCAAAAAGTTAAAGAAAGAAAATAATAAAAAAAAAAAATGAGATTTAAATTTATTATAGAGCTTATTTTTTCACTTGAATTTAATGCTATCAAACCTTGGCTATGCTTTCTCTATATTCTTTATTCATAAAATCTTTTCTTAATATAATATCTACCTATCTTATAAATAGTCTGTTTAATTCATATACCCAATTAAAATATCTTTTAAACTCTTTCTCTCATATCGATCCAAATTAATTATTAAGAATACTTTAGATCTCTCATTAAAACCAATCGAGATTAGTAATTTCTATTAATCTTTTTTCCAAATTACTAAATATTAATAGTTCATTGTTTAATTAAGAACTCTAGAAAAGCTCTAGGTATATATTTTGAAGGACTAATTCAATAATTTAATATTAAATTTTTTAAATCATATCATGAATTATTAAATAATTTAAACATATAATATAATTGTGTTTTTATTTATCATAATATACCCTTAATTTTCACTTTTGAATTGTCAATATATACGCATGGATACAATGTATCAATTTCGGTAATCTAAATATATTTGATATTCTACTAGATAATCTTATGAATTCTATTTACTCCATTTTATATATTTCTATTCTATACTTACTTCTATTATCAGTATATCACTAGATTAGAATTTAAATGCCTTTCCTTGAGTATTAGCAGAATGATGGAAATGTTAAGAATCGCCATTACTTAATAAATATGATCTATCTTAATTATAATATTGAATACCCTTATCCCTAACCATCACCTTTATATCCATTTTATTAAATCATTTCTCTAAATCCAGAACCTACTTTTACACCACCAACTAACTCTTAGTATTTCGAATGCAAAGTGTATTTTACCAGTCTTAGGGATTACTCATTCACATATACAATAACCTTGTTTATAACCACCAAGCTCAACAGTTTTTCCATTATCCCTCATTTAAATATCATTATGTTTATAATGAGGCTAAAATGTTAAAATCTTAGGATACATATAGATCTAAAGGTTGTTAATATAATATAAATTTCGAACCTTGAATTAGGTTTACTATTTCTATTCTCTACATGTAATTAACTGACTTAACTATAGAGTAATCATATAATTCTTCTTTCGTCTTTAGATTATGCTTCTACAGAGAATTCAGTCATCTACCCAAGCTTAATCTTGGATACTTTTTAAATATAATAAAC